TCAGACCGATGAGCTTTGTAAAAATCGACGCGTTTCAGAAAGGCGGGGCATAGAGGAGAAACAATAATGTACAGTATGTGGAAAATAATGTGTTTTTTTAACCTTAAACCAGATAAATACATTTCATTACACCAAATACACAAAATAATGTTCTTTTTAGCAGCATCATATGACCCCTTTAAAGCATTAAAACTTATAGCTGACAAATGGGCAAAACCTATAGTTGTTTGAAGGACTGTTGTGTATATTAAAATTTGGTGCATCACAATAATTATTAGCAGATCCACAAAAACCAATGACTTTTCGACATAATTGATCACCTAATCTGGTGTGTCATATCTTGATGCCACATATTTCTTTTTAGCAGCATCATATGACCCCTTTAAAGCATTAAAACTTATAGCTGACAAATGGGCAAAACCTATAGTTGTTTGAAGGACTGTTGTGTATATTAAAATTTGGTGCATCACAATAATTATTAGCAGATCCACAAAAACCAATGACTTTTCGACATAATTGATCACCTAATCTGGTGTGTCATATCTTGATGCCACATATTTGAATATATAGAAATAAAAATGGTGCAAATGATGACAGTTTGGGTCTGTTCCCATTCAAAGCTATTAAATGACTTCAAGAAGAAGCCATATTCTTTTATGAAGTTTTATGACGCTTTTTGTCATTTTTAAAGCATTCACTTTCATTGGTGCAGCATGAAAAATCTGCTAATCATCATCTTTTGTCTTCCACAGAAGAACGAACATCATGCAGATCCGGAATGTCAAGAGAGTGAGTAAATGAAGACAGAAGTTTCATTAATTGATTGAGTTTAAAATATTTAAGCTATTGCCTCGTGCACAGTTACAGTCAGTCATCTCCGTAATGAAGGAGTTCCCGTAAGCATCCTGGTGTCCTTCACAACATTTCCTCCTGCTCAGAAACTCAGTTCTGGAGCATGGCCATGCAGTTCTGGGCAGTATCATAGTTGCTCCACATGCACTCATCTTTTTAATTATGTTCTGGTGTGCTTTGAGGTGCACTTACTGCTTTGGAAAATTCATGGACTAGTATTTTTCAAGAACATGAGTTTTTGGATGAGTTCAAACGTTTCATTGGAGATGCTCTGTGTCATGTTAAATGGCTCAAATGCACGAGATGGAGCCCAAGCAAATAGTTTTGCAACCTGACGAGAAGAGTAGTTTACATAGAGTTTCAGGAATATGAAAAAACAAAATGATGAATTCACTTGATATTTTTGAGAACTTGCATTGTTTCCGTGATGCAACACAACAAAAGCTTCCCCAACACTGCTGTGGATAAAGACCACTGATGAAGTATGTTGATCACGTGATGTTGGGAGATGTTCAACACCGGATGAGTGCAATTCATCAAGCGTTTAGGATCAGTTTTGGAATTCCGTGATGCATCCCGGTTTGCCACTCGGGCGTTGCGGGATGATTATAATAATTGATCTGTTTAGGACACACACAGACACACACCCACCCGCATCTGCCTTGAGTTTGTCTCGTGTTTTATGCTCTCATTACGCACACCATCTGGATTCTCCATCACACACCGAATGTTTCCGATGATTTACGGGAATCAAAGACTCTTGAATGGCTCTGTGAGATAGTATCGGGGAAAAAATAAACAGCAGTGTCAAAATAAGCATTGGAACATCAGCAGAGCAAAACACGCATGTGCAGAAACGCCAGAGGGTGCGAATTATTTGGGTCTGACCTCCTCACCCGGCCCCTCTCCCCTCAAGAAGTCAAAACAAGAGGTTGAGCGGTCTTAGTAAAAGTTATTAGTTAGGTGTTTCTCAAAGTTAAAAGTTTTTAGTATTAATAAATGTTAATCAGAGCGAACCTGTTGAAAAATAGACGTTAAAGAAATCACGCTAGCATGAGGAGGTAACCATAGCAACAGTATGTCACGATAATTTTTGCGCTGTACGTCGAGAAAGAGTGACAAATTCAGCCATTATCTTTCACTTTATTATAGATTTTCATATTACAAATTTAGAACTGTTTTGTTTTAAATCCCTTAAAGGGATAGTTTACCCAAAAATTAAAAGTCTGTCATTAATTACTCACCCTGTTTGTTGTTCCGAACGTAAGACCTTCGTTCAGCTTCGGAACACAAATGAAGATATTTCTGATGAAATCCGAGAGCTTTCTGACCCTGCGTAGACAGCAATGTAAACTGAAATGTTCCCAGAACCAGAAACGTAATAAGGACATCGGTTAAACATCCCATGTGACATCAGTCGTTCCACCGTAGTTTAACAAAAATACAAGAATGCTTTTTGTGCATGAAGAAAACAAAAATAACGAGTTTATTCAACAATTCTTCTCCTCCAAATCACATATTCCGCCATTATCAAGAGTACCTCTGCACGTAAACAACATATGCACGTGATGCTGCTGACGTAGAACACACATCGGCTGAGCCTTGTTTATGTGCAGAGGAAAGTAATGGGCATATGGTGTGGTACTCTCCATAATAGCAGAATAAGTGATTTGAAGGAGAAGAATTGTTGAATAAACTCGTTATTTTTGTTTTCTTTGCACACAAAAAGTATTCTCTTAGCTTAGTAAAATCACGGTTGAACTATGATGTCACATGGACTATTTTACTGATGTCCTTACTGTGTTTCTGGGTCTGGGAATATTTCAGTTGCATTGCTGCCTATGCAGGGTCAGAAAGCTCTCGGATTTAATCAGAAATATCTTAACCTGTGTTCCGAAGATGAACGAAGGTCTTACGGGATTGGAACGACATGAGGGCGAGTAATTAAAGGCAGAGTGAGTGATTTTTCAAAAACACTTTAAAAACTGATTCGGGCCGAATCGCAAAACAAACTTGTAGCCAATCAGCAGTAAGGGGCGTGTCTACTCGTGATGTGGAGGAGAGCGCGTTCAGTGCATGGGACGGACATTAGCCGAGCCAGCGACAGAAAGATAGAGATGGCGGATAAAAAACAAAAGAGGAAAACGTCTGCGGTACGATAAGGCAAGACGTAGTACCCGTGTAAACATCGGATCATTTTTTTGTCATTTTTGGGTGAACTATCCCTTTAAGATAATTGACGGTTATCTGACTGTGACTGACCTCACTGAGATTGCGTCCTGAAAGTGATCTTTGTATTGACAATATAATATTTAACAGACGTTTAAAATTCTTCTTAGAGCCGAAATTTCACCCCCTAAAAGTAAAATTCGCATACTACCAGACCCCCTACCACACACAGCGACTCCAAACCAAGTAAGTTGCCTACCTAGACAGCATAACGCGCATCTACACGCGCCTGTGATGAATAAAAATGACTCTTTGTACTGATATCATTGTCATTGCCTGTGTTTAACCTATTTTCTAAGTCGTTTATTGACCAAAGTGGTTGCTAAATAATTATGAATATAAAACCAAAACTGTGATGCTCAGAAATGCTCTACGCGACTATGCCAGATGCTAGACTCCGGACCACCCATTGGGTGCGTCTGTAAACCAAGTGAGTTGCTGCTAAGACAGCATTTTATGGCATCATTGGCGCGCGCAACCGACTCGATGCCACACAATGCTGCGCGCTCATATGAAGCCCAAAAATGTTGCACGCGACTAGGGTACCCAAAAACGCCGCGCGCTTATGATGCACCAAAATGCTGTCTAGGTAGGCGGCTTACTGGGTTTTGAAACAGAGCCTCGTTCTCTAATGCAGTTTGAGTGTGGAATTGTGTGTGTGTGTGTGTGTGTGTGTGAGGGGGGCACAGTCGGGTTTCTCACCTTGGATCGCTCTCCGTCCCCCCCCCTCTCTCTCTCTCTCTCTCTCTCTCTCAGTGCATGTGTGCGTGTGTGTCAGTGTGTGTCTGTCTCATGAACGGAACTGAACGCTGCTGCATCTGTGAGTTTCATTCACCAACAGACAACAGGACTAAATCACAATCGATCAGGATTTATTTTCCTCACATCCGCGCTTGGATGAGGTTTAGCGCTTCAGACGGGATTCAGAGATTCAGGTGGGTTCTCAAACAGTTCAAGTGTTGTGATATCTGCATCATGCATTTTGCTATCATAAATGGAGATACGCATGGTATCATATAGAACTCTATATAGTTATGTCATGCAGGTGAACGAGAGCTTTGCTGATCACAACCAGTTCAATTACAATTTACACTGAATGCATGCATTAATGTATGAAAATTTTTCTTGATAACCATAGTTTTCCTCCAAAATCATATTAACTATTGATTGTTACTGCAACTAGTGTTTGATAGCGTGATGTTGACATAGAAAAAGATTTAAACTAAAAGATTAAACGCTTTTTACACTGTTTTGTATGATTTTCCATGAATTTAAGTGGCTACTATGGTGCGTTTTTTACAAAAGCTGGAAAAATAATTTCATATGACTTGATTTAAAACATTAATTTATATGCAGTTATTATGCAAACTGATTAATTGTTATTAATTAGCCACCAAGTTAATAAGTTAAAGCAGTGATGTTTATGAAATTAGCTCAATTTAATATATAGGTGTACATTTAGTGTGTTTTGTTGTTTATAATTATGATTAATCAAATTATATTAATTAGACAATAATGAGGGTCCTGTGCCCTGCTCACTCTCTGACAGGTGGGCAATTACAGTCTAAATTCTCTCTCTTTTTTAAATGGTGATTTAACAGAGCGCATCAAACTCTGTTTCGTTCCCGGTCCGTGAGAGATGCCAAGGAAAGCAACTCTTCACGAGTCTTCTTAGGTATGCGTGACAGCATCGAGATTTCTGCTTCCCCTGATGGACGTGGCACACACACGGTTGTGTGTGTGTGTGTGTGTGTTTGTGTGGACTGGATTCCTGTGATTTTATTGCAGTGAAGCCCCTCTCTAGTTTCCCCGGGGTCACAGATGAACTGTAGAGCTAAACTTTGGGAAAAACATTTACGCCAGCTCAGTTTACTGGTCCTGCCCACTGCTGGCCCTCGAGAAAAAGGGAAAAAATATCAGACGTTTCAGAGCTGTCAAGACGAAAAGCACTGTGTTTGACAGTAAAGTCAGAGGTGTAGCAGACAGGGAGAGAGATCTGATAACTAAACCGTGTGTCAGTTTGATTCTTGACCTACTTACAACATCCCAGCTCTCTCTGCCAGCACTATATGGAATAGTTCAGTCACAATATACTCACCCTCATGTCATTTCAAAGCGGTGTGAGATTCTTTATTCCGTGAAACACGAAAAGAGATGTTTAGCACAATGCTTACGCTCCTCTTTTCCATAAAATAAAAGCAGACAGCCTGTCAGTCCATAAAAAGAACTAAAAAGCACAATAAAAGTCCTGTATAAAATCTCCATGCATTATATTCCAGGTCTTCTGAAGTTATCTAAAGCTTTATGTGAAGAACACACTAAATATTAAGTCATTTTTTTCGTTGAAAAGCTTCCCAACCTCTTTATTAGCATTGATGGTTCCATGAAGAATCTTTAACATCCATGAAACCTTTTCATTACACAAAGGGTTCATTATAGTTGAAAAGTGTTCTTTAGATTATTAAAATGTTCTTCACGCTTAGAACAAAAATGGATCTTTAAAGAATGTTTCACTGAAAGGTTCTTTACGGAACCAAAAAACACCCTTTTGAAACCTTTACTTTTAAGAATGCATTGCATTGCGTATTCAAATATTGATATCAATGATACTGAACACCATCAGATCTTATGTGTTTTTTTTTTATGATGGAAAAAATGGAATGTTCCATCAAAAGATGGAATTTGTCCAGATGCTTTAATTCAGGTGTTCCTCAAACAAAGCTGTCATTTGATTTCAGAAGACTTGGAATGGTCATATGGTCTACTTTATGATATTTTGAATGTGCTTTTTTTGTCCATTTTGGAGTCCGGTCACCGCATGCTTTCATTGTATGCACAAAGCAGCTCGGACATTCTCGAAACATTTTTTGTGTTACACAGAAGGGAGAAATCCTACAACATGAGGGTGAGTAACTGATGGCAAAAATTTGAGTGAACTCTTTCTTTAATTAGCATACATCATGCACTTTTGTGATAATGCACTGTATGCATATGATTTTGCATTATGTTCCATTCCTCCTGCATTTTAAGACATAATTGGGCCGTACTTTCAGCGCTGGGCAACATGAGAGCAGCGTTTTTCAACTTCAGTGAAAGGTTTGGATCTGACACAGTCTTGGCTCGGTCCACCTTAGCAGCTAAAGTCAACATGGCCTATATTTCACTCTCCTCCTCTTCCAGCACAGGAAGCTTCATCTGTGTGTGTGTGTGTGTGTGTGTGTGCGCGCACATGACACCCTTTTCTCTTTTGTCACAAACAAAAAAGTCCCTACACTAACTTTAACTGCTTTTCTGGACTTACCTTAAATGGGGTCATATCAGGAATCAAATTTAGCTTGATCTTTTGAGATGAAAGAGTTTTGTGTAGTATTAAAGCAACTTTCAGATTTCAAAACATTTATTAAAGTGTTGCAAACCTCAGATTTTAGACAAATGAATACATTTGAACACATGACCATCCATACTGCATAATATAAAGAGTCAATTGTGGAAAACAGCTCATGTTTTACCACTAAATTACTGCTTTTGGTGCAAAAAAAACTACTAATATTTAAGTGGATCTTAGGTTAATTTAAAAAAAGAAAAAACATACATATATATATATATATATATATATATATACAAAAATATATGATACGACCCATTTAAGAGTCGTGCATTGCTTCTCGAGTGTGTGTTTTGTCTGTCTGTTTATGCATGTCATTTTAAGCATGTCAAGAGGTCAGGGGTCATAAAATAGCAGGTGACAGCTGTAAAAGTGTAATTGTGGGAGTGTGTGTGCTTGAAGTTATTCTGTACCGTGCAACTCCCTTGCTGTAACTTTTGGGGTGCGCCTAAACACACAAACACACACAGAGTGTGTCCAGTCGGAGAGCGGTGTTAAATGATTCAATCTGTTGTAGCCTTGGCACCTTATGACTTTGTACGTGTGTGTGTGTGTGTGTGTGCGAGCGAGTGAGTGTGGTGCACGAAATGTGTTTGTCAGTATTTGAACACTTCATAAAATGATTTGTGGTTTCCCTCCTGAGTTCAAAGCTGGTGATGCCTAGCGGTGAAATTTTTGTTGTCGAATGGAAAAAGATGTGTACTTATGTGTGAGATTGTGAAAGTCTGCGTGTTATTTTACACTGAACCCATGCATTAAAACCCCCTAAACAACACACGTTTGCATATCTAAATGATGACTTCTGTTGTTTTTATATAAAACAAAGTATAATTAATACAAACCAACCAAAGCTATTTCTTTGCATTTTTAGAATAAAAAAAACATGTCTTTTATTTATGCATAATTTTTTTTATCTTTGAGGAAAAATCTTTTGCCAGATTAGTTTTAGTGAACGCCTGGCAGCATTTCTGTCCCCAAAGTAAAATTACAGAAGTGTGATGCAAGGCATGATGTATTACTGCACAGATTCTCAAATTATCTTCAAATTATTTTCAAATCAGCAATCAATGCATGACCCGGTCATCATGTGTGTTTTTCTGTGAGTGTGTGTGTGTGTGTGGTTAAGGATCAGGTTTTGCTGTTTTAGTGAGGGCTGGGTTTGGTCTGTGTGTGTGGGGGAAAGGTCTGGTCGCAGTGGCTGCATTCTTTTACCAGGCGGTTTTCTTTCCACTCGCTTGTCGGCTCGCTGTATGTGACTTTTTAATCAGTTTTAACCATCGAAAACCTTCCCAGGCATGAATGGTTCCTCGAATCATGTGTGTTGTTGAGGAGAGCGTGCTGCTACTTACTTTAAGTGTCAGATGCTCCATTTTCACCTGCTGGACTAGAAAACAAGTGCAAAACCCCAGTCTGGGCCTGAGACTCGAGACTCGTTATTAACACTTCTTCACCATGTGTTAGGTCAAATCAACACTGATAATTGGTTTTCTGTGGATTAAGTTATGCTGACAGCGAGCACACCTCTCTGTCGTATCTTGTTATTGCAATCTTGAAGTTGTTAAAGGAAAATTGGTATTGAAAAAGGGAGTCAGGTGAGTGATATATGTGATTATTCTCTGCTGAGATGCTCTGGATTAGTTTGTCCAGACCAATTCTTCTCTCTCTCTCCCATTAAAATCAACATGAAACTGCATTCAACCCATTTAACCTGAAAGGGATATTTAATAACAAAACTGTATCCATCGGGAATTGACTGGATCTTAATTGATATTTTAGTGTTACTAAAACGTTTAGTTTTGATTCTTTTTTTATATTTACCGTTTTCATTTTTAATTGTAGTATTTTTTGTGCTTTTTTATGAGTTTTTGCACTTTGTAAATATTACTATTGGGTTGAATTTATTTTTATTTCAGTTTTTCGATTATATAGAGTTTTTTATTATTGATTTATATTTGTCATTTTACACTGGTATACAGGTATTTTAGCATCAAAAGAAATAGTACTTTACCTTTAAATCTGAAATGTATTTAGTTGCCATCTGAGCCTGTGCACTTGTGTTATGTCTCAGCTCTGATAAATTCTGTGTCAGTAGTAACACACACACACACACACACACACACACACATGCTCGATGCAGAAACTCGACTCTCCATATTTAGTCATTCTGTGAGAGACGTCCATTCTTCATTGTGATCTATCTCTCTTTCTTTCATTCTCTCATATATCTCATCTCTACTTTGACGTCCTTTATCTTCAGCCACTGTCTTTTTTATTCTCCCCCCACATACAGTCCCTTTCCTCAGTTCTGTCCATATTTGTCCCTTTTTGTCTGACTAAACCTTTCACCTATTTCTGTCTCATGCTCCCATGTGTGTGTGTGTGTGTGTGTGTGTGTGTGTGAATCAGAGGGATGTGTATTCTTTTTCTCAGAATCTGATGGAACTGTCACTAAATGATGTGGTGGCAGGGACACACACACACACACACACACACACACACACACACACACACACACACACACACACAGTGTAAACACCAAAAGACCACACAATCAGAATATGTGCGTATACATACAATGGGGTCCAAACGTCTCAGACCGCATTGACTTTCTTGGATTTGGATTCTTGGATTTGGAAAATAAATAAAGTTTTAAGACTTAGAAAAATGCAAAAATGTAGCATTTCTGTAGCTCAAACCATAAAACATGGCACTAGCAACAAGAAGGTTATGAGTTTGATTTCCAGAGAATGCATGAACTTATAAAACATAATGTAATTTAAAATGTAATGTAAGTCAATGTGGATAAAAGCGTTTGCCAAATACACACAATACAATACATACATTGCACACACACACACACACACACACACACACACACACATATATATATATATATATATATAAATTATTATTTTATATATTTAATGTATATTTTTTTCCAAGTAAATATTGTGTAAAATATCTGTTCAATTAAAATGTAGCAATTAAAAAACATCATTTAACATTAAATTTAATATTTAGGTACTATTTTCTTGAACCACAAGATGCTGGAAGATTCTGAAATAATGCTAGATAACATGATTATCAGGCTTTGTTCATTACAATCTCATTTTTTATTTTTTTGCAATACAGTTTTTGAACTGAATTAGAAAAGTCTTCAAAAAAGGCACTTTTTCAGTAGTGGTTAAACTAGTGGAGCCCCATTATGTGTGTTTCTCAGTGTGTTTATGTTAGAGTGATCGAGCGAGGTAGAGAAAGAGAGAGGTGGGGGTGAGAGAGTTCGGCTGACGGCGTGAGGGTCAAATAATGAGCTTAATTCTCTGTTTGGTGTTTGATGATGTGTGACTGAAGAGGTGTGTATGGAGAGAGAGTTTGGTAGAATGTTACAGAAACAAAGGGAAAAAAGGGGCCATTCAGAGCTTATTGTGTCTTCATATAAAACTTATGCTCTACAATTCTCATCAAAAACACAGGCTTCGTAGATTTCATAATACTAATGCCAGAATATGCTTACCTAAAAACTTGAAAACGGACACAAAATCACTATAAAAATGTAATAGAATCATAGCTTTGTACTACTGATTCAGTTAAATGAATGAATGGATTGTGAACTGAATCAACTGAATCATTTGAAAGATCCAACTCAAAGGAATGATTCTGACATCTCTGATTCTCTGATTTTCAGTAAACATCACATCACACATTGTATAGTTTCAGAAAACTCGTATGGACTACTTTCATGAGTCTTTCGGTTGCTTTTGTGTCCTTTTTGATGCTTGACAGCTTCATTGTAATTGCATGGGAAGAGCATGATATAGTAACAGGTGTGACGTGAAGCCTTCATGCATCTGAGCCAATTTCTAATCTATTTTTCAGCAGAATAATAACAATTAATTTATCGGGCTTTTTATCACATTTATAAGTTGTGTATTTACTGTCTTTATTTGAGGGTCCATCTGTACCGTTGCAAAGGGGCCCGAGCAGAAAGAGCCGCATTGATATTCACATCACACACACGCAGTGACAGGTCCTAAGAGAGGAGTTTTACTCTGGTTTCATGGTTCATTGCTCTTTGTAGTGCTGTAGAAGTGTGATTCGGCTCAGATACATGCTAATGTCAAACTGTTTCTCATTAACTCTAAACAGCGTGCGGATCTCATCAGATTCCCTCCCGGCTGATCATATGCACGTCGACCTGCGGATCCAAGCATCAGGAGAGTTTGAGAGTATCGAGTTTTATTCGTTCTGTGTCTGTCTGGAACATGACACATAGGATGCGGAACGGACTGTGACCGCTGATTCCTCCAGCAGTAGAGGTAGTGCACTTTCTTTGTTTTAAAACAAGATAAATATCACTGTATCGTAGACATGTTTTTCTGCTTTATGAATCTAGAAAAGCATCTGTGCACAGCAGCATTATATTAAATGTTCTCATTCAAATCCCCCGGCCTCCCAACGGCCCAAACTCCTCAAGAAAACATGAGGAATCTCAGCATGTGTTTACCGAGACAAAATTAACCCAATTTTGTAATAACAGCTGCAGTGTATTTCTGCATGCACGGCTCTCCTAAAATGGCTGAAATGTCTATAAATGAGCATTTCTAAACACACTTGCACAATCGTCAATATTATTGTTGCTGATTCCCATTTTGCATCGTCCTGCTGCGTTTGTGCTCTAGAAATTAATAATTGTCTGTGTTGCTGCAAAGATGTGTTGCTACTTTACTAAGTGATCAAATGCTCCACTTTTATCTGCAGGCCTATAAAACAGGCGGAAAATCCCACAAATGCACATTGAAGCCAGATCTAGAGACTTGAGGGTGAACACTTTTGATTTGGTTTGTGAGCAATCACTTAGCAACCCTAGCAACTGCATAGCGACATTAAATCTAATTAGAACACCTTTGCAACTGCATGGCAATGTCCTGGCATTCACACACATCAGAGTAACATCACGGTAGTGAATTTTACAAATGATTGCAAAACGTTCAGCTGCAAAGTATTTAAACAACTTGAATATAAAGTTCACAAATCATTGATGTCCCTTTTTTAGTGTAGTATTTGATTTAGTGCTGTGAGTTTATCAATAACTACAAACCAACATTTGGTCCTAAACTATCTAGCCCCTATTGAGTGACAGTTGAATTTAGGTTGAATACTGTATGTAACTCTCTGTCTGTTTGTTTGGTTAAATCTATTTCATACATTTGTACATTTATTTTATGTTTTACAATGTATTTATTATTCATTTATTTTTTTGTTATTTAAATGTATGATGAAATTTATGAGTTATTTTTGAAATGTTTATATTTATTTAAAAATATATATATTTTAGATTTTTGTTTTTTTATGTATTTATTTATTTTTAAATTTAGTATTTTTTACATTTTGAAAGGATAAGCTCCACTATTTTTTGAAAAAAAGTGTTTTAGGCCCTGTTTTTGTACCTTGTTTTTTTCAGTGCACTTCACTTGTGTTATGGCAGCATTGTAATAATGTTATTTTTTGAACATGGCTTCTTTGAAGTACTATATAAATCTTATGGTGCATGAATATTGTTGACATTTTGTGCCTTTCCATTTCCAGACACACACTGCCGAGAGTTGGTTCTGGGAAAGTCATCTATCCATTGGACGTTTTCTGGCCGGGTCGCCTTTCCAAGATATCACACGTACTCCAGTCTGAAGAGACGCTATAGCCATATTTGTTTATTTGACTTCCCCCTCTCTCTACCCATCCATCTGGATACGTTCCTTCCCTTCCCCATCCCACATTCATCATTCCCTCCCGTGACATCATGCAGAGTTTTCGGAACTTGCTTTCTCTGATTACTTTGTTTCATATGCTTCCCTGGGCCTCCAGTCACAGTCTGAACCCATTCACCGGGCCTCAAGTGACACCGACAGACCCTTGCTATGACGAGACGGGCGTCGCCCGCCGATGTATCCCAGAGTTCATCAATGCAGCATTCGGCCAAGAGGTTAGCGTATCGAGCGCATGCGGCCGGCCACCGTCTCGCTCCTGCAGTTTAGTGGAACGCGACGAACGTCCCGCTGTGCGCTTATGCCAGGTTTGCGATGCATCGGACCCTCGCCATGCTCACCCTGCCTCCTACCTCACCGACCTAAACTCAGCCCACAACCTCACCTGCTGGCAGTCGGAGAACCTGCAGGGCTCACCGCTCAACGTGACACTCACGCTGTCGCTCGAGAAGAAGTTCGAGATCACGTACGTCAGCCTGCAGTTCTGTTCTCCGCGGCCCGAATCGCTGGCCATCTATAAGAGCATGGATTATGGCCGCACTTGGACGCCTTACCAGTTCTATTCGTCGCAGTGCCGTCGCATGTACAACCGACCCAACAAAGCGGCGATCACCAAGCAGAACGAGCAGGAAGCTTTATGCACAGATGGACACACCGATCTCTACCCGCTTTCCGGCGGCCTTATCGCTTTTAGCACATTAGACGGACGCCCTTCGGGCAAGGACTTCGACTCGAGCCCTGTTCTGCAGGACTGGGTGACGGTCACTGACATTCGAGTGGTCTTCAGTCGCCCGCAGCACCCTAGAGCGCTGCCAATGTCGGAACGCGAGAGCGAAGACCCACTCGGGTCGCCTGGAACGCTGCCTACTTATTACTATGCGGTTGGCGACTTCCAAGTGGGCGGGAGGTGTAAATGTAACGGCCACGCCTCCAGGTGTGTGCGAGAGAAGGACGGGAAACTGGTGTGCGAATGCAAGCACAACACAGAGGGTCCGGAGTGTGACCGCTGCAAACCGTTTCACTACGACCGGCCCTGGCAACGTGCAACAGCGAAAGAAGCCAACGAGTGCTTGCGTAAGTTGCGCACAGACCACTGTGTTCTCATTTAGGTGTGCGATGATAAATCGATTCGTTAATCGATTCTGAATTCATCGCGATTCTCTCTAGAATCGATTCTCAGCTTAGTTTGTAACAGCAGATGGCGCTGTGTGCTTTAGAAACAGCCGTACTCTGCTTGCTTCCAGTTCCTTAAACACACCACTTGAATCTAAAATTATCATTCATAAAGTTCTTAAAGGTTAAAGCAAATTACAAGAGTGTCCACAGTGGACTGTTCACATAAATCTCGTGGCATAAAAGCTGAAGTGCATTTAACCACTTGCATTACTCAGCCGAACGCACAAGCGCTCTTCTTCGTGAGCATTTGAGAGCGCCATCTGCTGTTCAAGTTTAAGCTCAGAATCAATTCCTGAGAATCGCGATGCATTCGGAAAATCGCAGAATCGATATTCGATCATCGATTTATTGTCGCACCCCTAGTTCTCATTAAAATGTGGCAGTTGTTCAATCTTCGTTAGCTGTTCCATAACCTAGAGCCAGATTTACTTACAGCTTGTATCAGTGAAAACCTCTTCTGGCGTTAAAACACTACTGTCAAGATTTACTAAAGTCACACAGTGAAAAATTTGCAATGAAAAGTCATGGACACAGTTATTTTTGCGACTGATCTTATTGCATATGCATTTACAGTAGTTTCCCTTACAGATGCTAAATTTATGGGAGGAGAGTATTTAAATAAATCTTGCAATGTGATTTACCGAGATTTGCAGTAGTCAGTTTGCTGGTATTTGTGCTGTTATTTAACGACCAAAAAGCATGTCTTTACCCATTTATGCACAGAGGAACGATTCAGAACGATTTTTCAAGTTGATGAATGATAAAGCATTGACAGCCAATCAGAGTCCACCCAAATCAAGAGCATGAGCATTTAAAGTGGCAGATGACAAAATGGCAGTGCTTGCTTATAATAAACGTTATCGCTTATTATTGGCATGGACACTGATATAATGTCGGTTTCTTAATAATTAATCTTTCTTAGCGTGAATAGGCCTTATTTGCCAATGATTTGTACCACTCATCTGGACCACTCAGCTTAACAAAATGCTTTTTTTGCTAAATTTTGCTAAACTATTTATGAAAATTCACAACACATACAAATCTTGAGTAAAATAGGCAAAATGTTGTATTCTTTTTTTAATTATATTTTTGATACATGTCAGTATCGAATGAAACGTTATGCTAAATATCACTAAATGTCGCTTGGCAAAACAAATTACAAATCAAAAAAGACTGGAACTACTCTACAGTATGTTTATTTTTAGCATTTCTCTCGATCTGCCCGCCATATTGAATGGACTTTTTCACTGGAGCTTGTTGCAGTGTATTCTGGAATTGGCTTTTTTGTGAAAGATAAATCAAAATAATATCGAAAGCAGCATATTTACACTGCTAACCCTTTGGAGTTGCTGTCTAGGTTTTAGAACAGAGCTGCAGTGTGGTGTTACGAAATGATCTCTTGGCAAAATCGTGAAGGTTAATTCTCATCGCATCTCACATCTGAACTTGATTTATGAGCTTGACTTCGCCTGTATCTGTATTAATGCTGGATACATTCCATTGAATACATACAGACTGACACTCGAGTGCAGGGCCGAGATTTGTGTTTGTGTATGTCTGTCTTGCAGTATGTTAATCTTTACATAAACCTCTTCTCTTAGCCCGTGTCTGAACAGCCCACGCTCAGAGCCCAACGCTCCTGACAGCAGTGAGAGCACTAGGCCTATTTCACACGTGTGCGAAAGCAGCGTTTATTTATTTTGGCGGCCATATTAACACTGAATTTACACTGGCTGCCGAAGAAGCACAGTGCCGTTTAGCAGAATGTAAGCATATTTTTTTTTACAGCATAGTCCCTCTGCAGAAAAAGTTTAAAATGCACCTATGAATTAAATTTTTTTTTGTTTATTTATCAACACAGACTTTTGCAATGACTTTGTAGCTACAGTTTATGTCACAAATAAATAAATTAATATATTGTTAAATATTTTTTTAGTTTATTGTACAAACCAACATTTGGTCAAAAATGAATAACCCCTATTGAGCTTAATTTAGGCTAAATATGTAACTACACATTTTATTTTATTTTAATTAATAAACCTATCTGTCTATCTGTCTGTCTGTCTAGCTATCTGTCTGTCTGTCTGTCTAGCTATCTGTCTGTCTATCTATCTATCTATCTATCTGTCTATCTGTCTATCTGTCTGTCTGTCTGTCTGTCTGTCTGTCTGTCTGTCTGTCTGTCTATCTGTCTGTCTGTCTAGCTATCTGTCTGTCTGTCTGTCTGTCTAGCTATCTGTCTGTCTATCTATCTATCTATCTATCTATCTATCTATCTATCTATCTATCTATCTATCTATCTATCTATCTATCTATCTGTCTGTCTGTCTGTCTGTCTGTCTGTCTGTCTGTCTGTCTGTCTGTCTGTCTGTCTGTCTGTCTGTCTGTCTGTCTGTCTGTCTAGCTATCTGTCTATCTGTCTGTCTGTCAATCTACAGTTTTTATTTTATGATTTTAAGATGCATATACTTGATGGCTCTAGTTCTTATATTAGGATTCCAGCGTGTATCTGTAGATATACAACTATCCATATGTTAAAGATCAGTAGCAGCTGCAGATATTTATCTTATCTTATCAGAAGGCAGTATAATTGCTGAACGAAAAATTAGCCAAATGGTGTAAATGTAATCATCTTTGTGTCAGGAAAGATATATTGTGCCCAAATGCTCCAGTTGGGCAGTCCTGACACTCCATTAGTATCTCTAATGTCTCCCATAAATCTCTCTGCCTCGTCTAATTCTTCCTGTCCACTCGGTCTTTTTTCCCGTGTGCTTCTCTACACGTCTCTGAGAGTTTGCAGATCATTTATTTTTCTTTCGTTTGATTGGCAGCGCTCTGTGTTTGTCTCCTCTCACCTCTGGCTCTGGCTCTCCTCGTGCCATCTGCTGTGGTTTGGTGGCCCCGTCTCTGACTGACCCCCACTACACGCTCCACTCCCTCGTTTTCTCGCCTCGACACACGCCAAGGACTCCCGCCGATTTTGTGCCCGACCTGGCAGTGGTTGAGTGTGATCTCGTTAAAATCATCCCGCCATTCAGCTGAGAGAACAAGGACAAAGAGATTAGCAGAGTTATAGCAGACTAATGAGTGGCCGACCACAAGCCGAGGCTCTGACGCTCAAATCAAGCAGTTTGACTGGAGAAAATGTCAAAACTTGCTGTTGCTATGCAGTTGCTAGGGTGTTCTGGGTGGCTGTTAGCTTGTTGCTATGCGGTTGCTAAGATGGTCTAAGTGACAGTTATGGCGCTTTTCCACTGCATGGTATGGCACGGTTAGCTTTTGGGGAGTTTTCCACTGGGTACAGTACCTGGTACCTGGTACTTTTTATAGTACCACCTCGGTTGGGGTTCCAAGCGAACCGTACCGTTACCAAAACGTGATGTGTTAACTCTGCTGATCACGGATTGGCCGGAGAGAATCATCACTACCTGCATCACTGAACTTGCGACACAAACACAAAAGAACTGCTAGATTTAAATCAGCACAGCCAGCGAAGGATCGAACGCAACTGTTTTGAACGAGCGCACCTTTTTTTAACAACCAAAAAGTTTTGTTGTCTGTTGTGGAAGAACAGACGTTCCTCTCGTTGATAGCAGAGGAGCGGATCCAGCGAGAGCTTGATGGGGCGACGCGGAATGAAACGACGCAGAATGTTTTTTAGGAGTCGTGGCAGTATAGGCGGCGCAACTATAACGACATGTGAATAATCCCGCCCACTCT